AAAAAAAAAAAAAAAACAATGTCTGATCTCCTGGGAAACTGACATTTTCCTGTTAACATTTTCTTTCTTTGTTTTCCGGCCCTGCGAAGAGCTGTGGAGCTGTCAGTAGCACCCGACTGTCTTTTTCTCTCTTTTTTCTTTTCTTTTCTTTTCTTTCTTTTTTTTTTTTTTAAAGTTCTGATTTTTAAGTCCCTCTTGGTTAACGTCCACTTACCAACAAAGTGGCATTTCCTCCTTTAGTAGGTGAGTTGTGTAAGAGAAGGGAAAAGCGTGGTAGCGTAAGTTCATCATTAGATTCACAAAAAACGCAAGAGAGATAGAGATAGAGAGAGAAAAACGCAACCACCCCATTCTAGGCCTGAGAGGAGGCCACGCCACCTCCGGAGGAAGGACTGGCAGCACCCGGCTCCTCAGGCCTGAGTGGGCACCTCGTGGGTGACCGCTGCATAGAGATATCAAGGCTTTATCCAAAGGTGGAGTCAGGACACGAGGAATGGGATACAGAGAACCAGAAAGGGCACCAGGTATCGGCAAAAAGGCCCTGGCTGGGAACCAGGGGTCTGAGCCTGCCACTACCTCGCTTAGTGACACTGGCCAAGCCACATCTTCATTCCGGGCCTCGGTGTCCCCCTCCAGGAATGAGAGTCTCACCCTCTCCCATCCTCCTCCCTCCACAGACTGAGGCCTTCTCCTGTCTCTGAGCCTCTATCTGGTCACAGGTGATCGCACTTGTCATCCTAACCCCCACCCCCACACACCCCCAACTTGACTTTGAGCAACTCCAGTGCACATCTGGTTCAGCTCTAACCTCTGTTTTAATCACAGAACTTGGCACCTACTAGGACCTCAATACCGTTTGCTGAGGAAGGAAGAAACGTTGTTAGAAGTCGGGCCAGAGCTGGGAGTCCTCCATAAGGAAGGGCTGAGTCCAGCCTCCAGCCTTTGGAATGCTCTTTGGATAGGAGGACAAAACTACCTGGCACTTGTCAGGGCACCTCGCTGCCAGGGACCAGGAAGGAATACAGTTTCTGTGGCATTGTGGCATGACTGTGGGTGCTTCCTGTAGGGGGACAGTGAGGCTGAGGGCTCTCTGCAAGCTTGGCTCAAGCCTGGGCAAGGACAGGTAGAGCCAGGAGGTCAGCTGCATAGGTGACCAGCACAGCCAGCTTGTCATTGGTGGCTGAAGCAGCCAATAGACACCAGCCATAGCGGTGTGAGAATAGCCGCCCAGAGCCAGTGGGGCCATGAACCCCTCTCCCTGGACAGCCAGTATGTCCCTCTAGGGCAGAGGCAGGCACACGTGGGCTGTGTGCTAAGTTGCCTCCCTGATCCCTTGACCCTGACTCCTGATCACCTGCTCACCTCACTCGAGACTAGGAGAGATGAAGGGTGCATCTGTAGTCACGGTCCCTCTCAGATGGAAGTTCCATCCTCAACAGGCATCATCAGGGGATCCCAGCACCCTCACTCAATAGACCCCTTTCCTCAAGTAGGTGGCCAGTGCCTCACAGATCCCAAGCCCCCAGCACTAGGTCCTGCCCTTCAGCATCCTTTTCCCTTCAGAGGAGGCAAAGAAAAGTCACCAGTCTCCTCAGATGTCCAGTTTTTGCCTTATCCCTGGGTTGTTAAAGAGGGAAACAGGAGGGTGAGTGGGGGCTACAGGAACGAACACCACATAGTAACCCCATAACCCAAGGAGTTGCTACGTCTCTGTCTCCCTGCTAAGAAACCTTTGCTTGCTCCTTGGGTTAGGGGAGGTGGCCAGGCAGATGGGCAGAGCACTAAAGATGGGAACCAAGAGCCAGATGTGCATTCCTGGCTCCAACCTGGAATATGGATCAGATTCAGAGAAGGGGCCAACAATGTAAGAGGAAGACCAAGGGCAATGAGATTCCTTCCCACGAACCCTGCAGAACTCTTCCTCCTCCTGTCTCAGGTTAGGAGTGGGCTGGGAATGTTAGGAACCAAAAGGGTCGAGGTTGGAAGGATGCTCACTCCCATCAGGTTGGGTACCCCCAACCATTCAAGTCCAAGTCCTGGGCTCAGATTCTTGGTGCCAGTCTGAACACTTCCTGCCTGGCATGCTTTGATGTCCAAGCTCTTCCTCACTTCCCTCTCTCCTCCCTGCCAAGCCAGCTGGCCCGCCACAGCCCAAGATGATAGTAATGGGCAAAAGTGGCAACCCTGGATTCAGCCCTGGTGCTGGTGTGCTATGGGGCCTTAAGGAGGTGATCTAACTCTGGGGACCTCAATTTCCCCATTGGTAAAACGGGACTAAATGGAGGCTTTGCTGGATAGGCCTGTGTAGGGGTTGGGAGGTTCTTTGCACAGTACAACTAACTCATCATCTGGTCACAAACCAATGGGGTCAGAACAGTGCAGGGCGGCTCCAAGTGCCAGAATAGCAGAAGACGGAGGGAAGGTGCTGCCGGCTAGGGTGGCAGACACAGGCTTCCCTAGGGACAAGGAGGGAGACGCCTAGAGCCAGTTTCATGTCCTTCTCCACCCATCCATCCAGAAGCTCAAGAAAGGGTCACCATGAGCCTGCCGGAGGGACAAGCCTTATCCTCAACTTGGCTGGGTCTCATTCTTGCCAGGAATTAAGGGAAGAGTCAAGCCTAGAAACCATGGTGTCAGAGCCCAGCAGGCTTGTGGTGGCCAGAGACCTCCAAACACCTCCAGGAAGCCTGCTCTTTGTGACTCCTGTTCCTCTTATCACTGGGTTGCCTCACTCCTGGGTTGTCAAAGAGCGTAAAGGGAGTTAGGCCAACAAGGGGGCACATCAGGAGATGCTGGTAACCCGCAACCCAATGAGCCATCAGGTCCCTCCTCCAGGAAGCCATTGCTTGCTCCTTCAGTGAAGGGAAGCAGGTAGAATGCTAAAGGTGGGCACCAGGACCTGGATGTGAATCCCGACTGACAGCCTGGCTAATGCCTATTGCACTTTTACCCTCAGCTCAGAGGCTGCCTCCTCCAGGAAGCTTCTCCTTCCCAGGCTGTGATCCCCCAGACTCCTGCATTCCTTCATTCAATGTGGACACCGGGCCAGGTCTTATGCTAGGGCTGGAGCTGCTGTTACAGGCAGGGTGCCCATCTCCTACACTCAAGCTTTCTCCTCTCATCATTGCGGGTGGGAGCTGCGGACCCAGGTCCACCTGCCTCTCTCCAGGCAGGGATACCCAGGTGGCCTGGCACAGAGGCGGTGCTCAGCAAAGGCTTGTTAGTGTGTGCATGAATGAATGAATGGGTGAATGAATGAAAGAGGACCTCGCCTGCCTCAGCCCTGGTTCCAGGAGCCTCTTCGCTCCTTGGTGCCATTTGCTATCTGACACCTTCTCCTTCACCCTAAGATATTTTTGAGGGTCAAGGGGAAAAGACAGTAGAAGAGGTGGCATGCTCACCGGATCCCAATACTCTTAAGAATGAGAACAAGTAAGCATTTGTCTACATGCTCTACCCTTGTTTTCCCCCAGGGCTCAGACCACTAGCTCCCTCTAGCTCAGCATGGAGGTGTCCCACTTCTGGTTCCATGATGTCTCAGGCACTCTTTGACGTGGGCCTCTACTCCCCTATCAGGCTGGGATAATCTACCTCGTCAGATCAGCAGTACTTTCTCTCTCCCTGAAGAATGACTGCCTTGGCTGCCTTCCCACCACCACCCAGAGCTGAGGAATGTTCTGAGTGGGTGAGCTCCCCAGGACCTGCCTCTGGGGTCAATACTGGGGTGGGGGGCCTTCCCTTTCCAGGCTGAGAATGGAGGCCCACTGAGCCTCACAGAGATCGGTATGCCAATCTGCAGGGAGGTCAGACAGCAGTTGGAAGGGGGCAGGGGTGGAAAGGTGGGGTCCCTGAGGGCCTACCCCTGACTCTGCTACCCTCGGTGTGGCCAGGTGAGCACTGGGCTGGGAGTCACACATTCCTGGCTCTACCACATACCCTGGGAGAGACCCTGGCCCCTGCTGACTGCCCCATCTGGATCATTTTGTACTGAGGGCCCACAGGGAGCTGCCCAGGTCCAGAAGATGGGAAGGCTGCAGGGGCTGGGGGTTGAGGGAGCCCCTGTCTGGGTTGGGTAGCAGGGGAGGGTCCAGAGGCCTGAGCCCCAGGCAGAGGTGGGGAAGCCCCCACGTTGCCCCTCAGTCTCAGCTA